ATATATATATATATATATATATATATATATATATATATATATATATATATATATATATATAAATATATATATATATAAATGAAAATTAAACGGCATCTAGTTGTCAACAAAATGTGCAATAGGGACCATTAAAATAAACTCTTACCAAATCACTGGCACAGTGTTTAAGACATTATTACATTATTATTACCCTTTAAAATTCTTGATTATGTTTTGTATATGATAGAGCTGCACATTACAATATTTTATTTTGCGATATTAATAACAATAGTTTTCAGGTAACAGTGTCTGTCTCATGTACACATTTTAAGCACGAGATATTCTAACATTATTTAATCCTTCATTTAATCATAGCGATGCTGTCAGTTGTGTGACTCATACCGCCTTCACCATTTTATGCATTCACTGAGATGAAACTGATATTGCAGCTTATGAAAAGACCATTATTCCTATTAAGATGACGTATGCAAATAATAAGGTATAATATCATCTGTGCAATATCAGACAGCACCCGTTAGAACATCACAGTGATTATTGTTGATTCAATTAATCACATCACGTCAAGCAGTGCGTGCAGGGCCGGGAGTGCAGTGCAGAGTTTTGTTTATTTGTTAGTTGTGATTAGAGTGTTAATATATAATAGAATCTGTTCATATAAAAGTGTAGTAACTGTGCTCATCATTTTTGGTGGGTGCGACTAAATGTTGTCTGGTGCGCCTACATTTTTTAAGTTAGGAGCATCGGTGCTACCAAAAAAAGGTTCATTTCGAGCCCTGTTAATCGGTTGTGAAAATCGGTTAATCTGTTGTGAAAATTTCGGGTTTTAAGACAATGTTAAATGTAATAGAGCCCAGTTACATTATTCCTTCATAAGCCCATTTCAGTAATTCCTGCTTTCAGATCCACTAAAATAGCAGGTGACCGTCAAAACAAGCAGATCTGATCTGTCTATGGAAAAGGTGGACACTCATCTTTCTGAAAATAAAAAAAATACTTAAAAATAGATTGCAATTCCATATAAAAACTAAATTCTTCTTTTCTTTTTATTTATTTTAACTTCTACAATATTACATTTATTTTTTATAGGAATCTTTTTGGTTTTGAGTATATAGAAGGATTTGTTTTATTTGCTGCTAAGCAGAAACCCCAGAAGTATAGCTCTATCACTGTTTAAAGTAAAAGAAAAAAAAAACAAGATCATACTATTATGATGTTAGTTTTAATTCTAAATTAGAGAAATCCTCTGGCTTTTTTCTGTTTTTACTGTATCGAAAACGTACCAAACCGTGACACCACTGTGTCGTATCTAACCAAATCGTGATTTTTGTGAGCCATATCAACCAATATATAGATTCTATAAATATATGGGGTGTTATAAAAAACAAAATTCTTCTTTTTTGTGTGTAACTACTACACTTTTTATTTTGTTTAAGCAAAAGAGAGACTTTTTGATTACACTTTTTTGGTGTAATCCCTTCAAATTGAGGAAAAAAAGACTTACTTTTGCTTAAACAAAATAAAAAGTGTGGTAGTTACACAATTATACTACCAAATAATCACAGCTTAAAACAAGAAGCAATTTTCTGCCGGTTTTGTGTATATTGAGTTTATTTGCCAGGAAATTGAGTATATTTGGCAGATAGATTTCCTTGTTTTACCCCCAAATCTTACATTTTTTCAGACTAATCTACTGTCACTTTGTCTTGACAGGTTAATGCATCTCCATCTATGAATGTTCAGATATTTATACTGCAAACAAAGACAAAAATAGAGGAAGTCAATCATTTCTTTTTTTATTTTGCAATGTAATCCCTTCAAATCAAGAAACACAAAGCATTTTCAAAGACATAAAGGCTCTATTTTGCACCCTATTTTTTTGAAAGCGAACCTGGAAAGCGATTAGACGTTTAGTTTTTTTCTTCAGAACAGCTGCAGTCGATGATTCCCAGAAACGTAATGACAGAAAAGTCCAATTACACGATCATTCGATGCGCTTGGCAAATTATAAACTTGTTTAGCATGCCTGATGTTTGTTTTGATGTCAGACTCTCTTCACATTAGGATGCCTGTCACGCCGCTGCGTAATCTCCAAACGCTGTTACTCATAAGTGTTCAGACAGAGCATAAAGCTAACACGAGATGCTTTTTTCAGTCGGGCATGTTTAAAGGTAGCCATTGTGCAATATTTATTTAGTGTTTGACGTAATCTCAACTGAAACATGAAGAGAGGGGGCAGGGCATATAATATCCCCTCCCCTTTTTAAATAACAGCCAATAGCATTTTGTTTTTATCTCAGGTTTCAAGCGCATCGAATCTGAAAAGCAAATGAGTAACTTCTTAAAGGGGGTGGGGTGGGGGGTTAGATACTACAGAGCATTTGATTGGTCAGAAGATTTGATGATAAACTGAAGTATGAAAAAAAATCGTTGACCCATTTAGGTGAAAGTGACAAACTGCAAACTTTGGATGTTTATATCAGTTTTATATCTTCTAAATGTGAATTTGGCAGTGTTTTGGAGCACACTAGATATCCTCAAAACAAACAGATTGAAATTAACCAATAAAAAGCGTTATTTTAATTTCAAGAGACCTTTAAAGCACAAATGAAATCAAAACTAACCATATTAATTTTGTTATCCCACATTGGTAGTTTTGTGGTGAACGATTCATCTGTGCATGTCATTAAGAAAAAAAAAACATTTGAAATTTGTTTTTTGATAATAAATAATTTAAATAAAGTTAAATAAATTATTATTTCACATTGAAATCTAAAAATGCACTTCCTGTTTGTTTTGAGTTCAATTCTCAGATTAGGTCTATCTGAGGTATTGGGCGTGGCTAACATGGTGAGGAGGCGTTTGTTAGGTTGTAATAACTTTTCTCCATCTTTCTAAATAAAATTGCTACTTTACTACATCCAATCAGCTCACAGTAAAAAAAAAAAAAAAAAAAAAAAACAAGGCACGGCCACTATTAAATATTCAGTTTCTCCAGGAACTGCGTCACAATAGGAAAATAATTTTTTTTTCTTAGCTTCTGGTTAATTCTGGTAAGTTAGCTAGTAGATGTCAGCGAGGTTATAATTGTTAACGAAAACGAACGAAAAACAAAAACTAGATTTGAAAAAACATTTTTGTTAGTTTTGTGCACATATAAAACTAACTGAAACTTACTAAAACTATAGAAAAACATCCTTTGTTTTTGTCTTTGTAAACGTATTTATTACAGACTGTAAGCCTTAGGAGTTAATCTTCACGCTGCCAGTTTTACTCCAGGTGTTTGACCTGTACGGCACCTCAGAGTCTGAAATCTTGACACCATTGGCCTGAGCAGACACTCAAAAGTATTAATTTAACACAATTGTGCTTAATAATGGGTTTTATTTCTGTATTAGTAATCGAGATTGCGAACGAAACGTTCTTTTAATGCAGATCTTCCAAGTGAACTAATTTAACAAATCGAACTGAATCATTTTAAACTATTCGCATCTTTAGTAACGTTAAGCACTTATCCAAGAACGACTTACTTATAACATGCCTGATACTCCCCTCTGACTCGAAATAAACCAATATATGCTGAGTTATTCAGTTATTAGAACAGTACACTGAAATCAGATTTGAGACGTGGTGAANTGATAATACTGCGCATGCGTGATTTATTAGATGAACACAAACAGTACATAACAGCCTGCTGTGACTGAATTAAACTTAAGTGAGAGGATCTGGCCAAACAAAAGTTTACTTCATAACAGAAAGTCGTAATGTAGTTTAAATAAGTGAATCATGCTTCAGTTGGGTTGCAAAACATGTAAGAAACTTTGTAGATCATGGTTTTACCTGACTGAAATTAGGACAGCTGACTACACATTTTTGATATGTTGGGAAGATTGTCACAAAAGATCTGGTGTGTGTTAACTTTTAATTACTGCTGTGTATTTAATCTCACAAGCAGCCTTGCACACGTATTTTCAACCAAGACTAATTCTGGAAACGTGGTTTCTTAGACGTTTCGGGAGACAGCGATATACGTCCCAGGAGGTACATATTTGTGCAGTTTTTGCGAATCCACGAGAGGCCGCTGTGTGCGCTTTTTCATATCTCAAATGTCTCTCGCGAGTACCGTTCGCACCTGCGCTGTTCTCGTGTAAACCCACCAGAGGCCGCTGTCGAACAGCTGTCTGTCTGTCTGACTGTCTGAATGATTTACTATGCAACCGGCCAATCGACTGACCCACCCTCCTGCTTCCCTAAACCCAACCAATTTTACCCATTGACCCGCCCACCCGCTTACTTCCCTAAAGCCAACCAATAATTTACAAAAGCCGTCCAGAAAAAGAAAAGCCCTCGTCTGATTTTTTACCACGTTTTTGGATTTTACCACATTTTCACCCTGTTATGAACTGGTTGACTTCATTTTTTGAATTCTGTTTTTGTCTTACCTGATTTCTGGAACCGCTCTTCCCCGGATTCGAACCCAGTTGTCATCGTTGTGGTCAACCCCTCTGTGCGTCTCAAGTCTGCCGACATACATGACGAGCTAAATACGTGAAATACATCACGGGAGGTACGTATTTGTGCAGTTTTTGTTTTCGCGAATCCACGAGAGGCCGCTGTGTGCATTTTTCGTATCTCAAATGTCTCTCGCGAGTACTGTTCGCACCCACTCTGTTCTGGCGTAAACCCACCAGAGGCCGCTGTCGAACGACCATCTGTCTGACTGAATGATTGACTGTGCAACCGGCCAATCGACTGACCCACCCTCCTGCTTCCCTAAACCCAACCAATTTTTACCCATTGACCCGCCCACACGCTTACTTCCCTAAAGCCAACCAACAATTTACAAAAGCCATGTTTTTGGATTTTACCACATTCCCACCCTGTTATAAACTGGTCCACTTTATTTTTTGGATTCTGTTTTTGTCTTATCTGATTTCTGGAACCGCTCTTCCCCGGACTCGAACCCGATTGTCGTCATTGTGGTCAACACCTATGTGCGTCTCAAGTCTGCCGACATGCACATCGAACTAACTGGACAAACTGGTTGCAGCTGGAAAGCCCTCCACACGGAGGTAAGCGATTAGCGCGAAAAGAAATGACGTCATACCACCCTGTAGCGTTCGTTTAAAAAAATGAAATACAGCCATACGTAACTTCGGCTACATAATTCACGGCCTCCAGAAACGTCCACGAGACTACGTTTTCGGAATGAGCCTGTGTTGCATATTTTACTTAAGTCTGATATCTTGTGTGTTGTTGTATTTGAATTTAAGGAAGGATAGATAACAGTGGTCTTTTGTCAAAAAAAAAAAGTAGCCTACCATTGAGTTTTTATCATAGATTATTTATTCTCATGATATTGAATTTTGCACCTAACAAATCTAAAATTTACAAAACACAACAAACAAAAAACTAAAACTTATACTGAAACTAATAAAAACTAAACTAAAACTAAGCAGTTTTAAAATGTAGAAACTAATAAAAACTCTCTATAAATGAATTAAAACTAACTGAATTTGAAAACAAAAAGTCAAAACGAAGGAAAAACTAAAACGATGAAAAATTCAAATCTATTAATACCTTGATTGTCAGTTAGGGCATTGTATCAATAATGTGGAGTTGTTTGCTTGTAGAGACTCAGGTTCATCCAGTGAAGCAAACGGCGTCTTTTCGGATCAAGAACGCCAAATGTCACCTGCACCCGAAGCATAAGGGGAGAGCAGAGGACAACGGCAGACAGATCGGCCCAGGTCAGAAACACACACATCACCAAATCAAGGGCAACATGGTCCCTGTTGCAGAACGAGGGCTTGGGGCTGTTTAGTGTGGGTATGTCTACGTGTTTTTGTGACATTTCAAGACACAAATCTATATAATGACGTGGGTATGACAGGTATAACAAAAAAGGTGGTGAATCATGAGGACATTACTAATATCATCTCTCAATAAAGCTTATAAAAAATACAGAATGATTTTTTTTCAGAAAGTAAAACTGCAGTTTCTTATGAGGGTTTGTTTTAGGGGTAGGGCAGTAAAAATAAAGTTTGAACAGTATAAAAACAATGGAAACCTATTTAATGTCCACACAATTATGTATATTATACAAACTACTTCTTTTGTGTTCAACAGAGGTTGTAACACGTGAAACGTGAGTAAATGATGACAGAATTTTCATTTTAAAGCGAACTATGACTTCACGTTACAGATGTCAAACTTGGTTCCTGGAGGTTTAGAGCGCTGCACAGTTTAGTTCCAACACTAATTAAACACCTGATCAAACTAATTGAGCCCTTCAGGCTTGTTTGTAACCTGCAGGTAAAGTGTGTTGGAGCAGGGTTGGAACTAAACTGTGCAGGACTGCAGCCTTCCAGAGTTTGACACCCCTGCTTTAAGCTCTCTCTCTGTGAATAATATATTGATTTGTAGGCGGTCAGCCGTGCAACAACTGCCTGGTCACGTTTGTTAACCTGAAGTGTGACTCCTCTAAGAAGACCAAAGGCGGTCGTCGAGCTCGAAACCCGACAAATAAAGAGGTGACGCGCATTACTCTGGAGCTGGAGGCCGAGGTCAAACCGGGAGACGCAACCGGTGAGTAAAATAAAATAAAAAGGTTCATGTTATGTTTTTAATTTCATAAGGTTCCTTTTACAGCATTTATGTTGTAATGTAATTAAATTACAATCAGTTAAATTGACTTAAGCATTCATTTAGTTGTTCAAGTGTAAAACAAGATTAAAAACCGTTTAAACATAAGCGCCGTCAGGAGCAGAAGATGAGCGCTGAAACTCCATTGAAAGTACTGGGTTGACATGGCGCAGAACAATCGAATTTAATGCAGTGCTTCATGTCCAGTCTGAAACACTTTTTATACGATATCTTAATCGGCCAGTGAAGATCGCTGATTTTTAAACGCTGTGATTATTTTTTTCATGGCAAATTCACTGGAAGCGCTTGGACTGGCTGACTGAAAATCAAAAAGTCCCTGTGCATATGCCCCATTGGTACTTTAAGTGTAGTGTTAGCAAAAATGCAGTCTATTAATTAGGAAACGCGCTGTGTGAAAGTTCTGGCGTTCATCTATTTTTCATGTTCAGGGAACTGCAACATGATGTGTCAACGGCAGCACATGGAGCAGCAGATGAAGACGTACATTAAAACCCTGAAGAAGTCCATTAACCAGGAGCGTTTCCTGCTGCGTGTCGCTGGACTGGAGTATGAGGTGGCACAGAAGCTCACACAGACAGCGTTGAAGCAGGAGAACTGCGGACCGGGCCGAGAAAAGGACAGCGGACGTTGTGGTAAGAGCAGGACAGTAGTGCATGCATGTTTCCATCAAAAGATGCGAATATAATTTATGTGCAAAACTGGAATGTTGCATAAAAGAATTGCAAATAAATCAGCGTTTCCATCCAACGTGTCAAAGAGAACAAAATCATCACTTCCTGATAAACCGGCACCAAATATCAAAGATAAATGGAATTCGCGGCAGTAGGAGAAACTGTGTGGATCTTTTTCTTCCATAATAAATTACTTGCACCTCAAAAGACAAAATGCAATGAACACAAGGTGAATTTTAAGAGGAGTGAGATGCTCTTGGGGAGCAGAGATGATCGAGTTAGTTCTGGAGGTAATATTAAAGGTGTAGTAGGTGATCTTCCATAATGCTAACAGCTTAGCATAAATCTCTGAATCACAGTCCCTCCCCTGCCGTCTAGAGCCACGCCTCCTTAAATACGAGCACCGCAAAAGAACCCTCTCTCATGTGTTAAAAGCGACTACTAGTGCTTGTTCAGCAGCGTGCAAGCCAAGCTGACATGCTATTTCAGAGTGAATACTAGAGTTGCATGGTAAACAATATATGGGAGAGACTGTAGGCGGAATAGCGGTATTTACTTGTGTTTGGTTGTTAAACTAATTAAAATCTACATCATCGATGCTGTAAAAGGTCCCTTGTGAAACTAAAAATATTCTTATCAATCTTTCATTTGAAGATTTTAGCAGCTGAACAACACTTGTGTGCAGATATAACCCATTTGTAACAACAACATCTAACGTTACATCAGCTTTGCGTGAAGCTAAAATAGTTTTAAAACAGAACATAACCTGTCTTAGAGAAATCCTTCAGACAATGTGTCATCCTCTCTCCAGCGTGCAAAGGTAACTCCAATATTGATTCAGGTTTTTAAAAAGTTGATTCAACAGGTTGTTACTGAACGTGCGCGCGTGCTCTCTCTCTCTTGTGAACGTGCGGCGGTCGGTGGTCGGCGCAGCTGCGTACAAAAGGCTGCGCAGTTGTTCAAATCTGCATTTGCTGACAGACAGATTGGGCTACTTATCGGAATTATGAGAGATGTCGGTCCGACTCTATTTAATTGGATGAACATTTTTCAGTTTTATGCCTTACCCAAACTATAAAACTACAAATAAATACATTTAGATCATTTACTTTAATCATTACTGTTAGACGGTGGAGAGACTTTCAACCAGCACAACAACAAATGCTTCTGAAGACAATCACCTACTGCACCTTTAATATGATAATAGTAATAATCCTGAACCACTGGGGTGATAGTTGGCCCGCTGGTTTGCCCAAATGCTTTTTTTATTGTCACATGATCTCTTATACACAAAATCACATGACATTTTTTTAAATGCGCACTTTTCGGTAAAAGTGTTTCCATCGTAGTTTCTTTTAAGAGTTCACACTTAGATAATGCTTGACGATGTTAGCAGGTTTGGCATGCTGTCCCAGGAGAGAACCCTGAGCTCAGAGATAGATGAGCCCAATGAGCATTAAGAGGGATACGAGATCAGGTAGGTCTCTCTGATTTGTTTGGCCTATACCTTGATAATAAGACAGCTCAATAAGAATAGACTGCCAACCACACCAGTGCGTACGCATTAAGAGCTTGTGACTGTTGTTAATATTTAATTCACTTGTGTCACATGCCTTTAGACTGTGGGAGAAAACCCGAGGAAAAACCATGCTAACACAGGGAGAACATGTAAACTCTGCACAGAAAATGCAGACTTGCTCAGCTAGGACTTGAATTGGCAACGTTCTTGCTGTGAGGCTGCAGTGCTAGCCACTGAGCCATCGCGTCGCCCGATCCTAGAATTGAGGAAAAGGGAGAAGGGATTGATGGTTCCAAAACGAAGATAGGAAATAAGGATAGGCTGGAAATTTATGTTAAATTTGGAATAATCTAATTGGTTAGCTAATGATTAGCGATAGGGACCAGCTGCAATCAATCATATCACGTGCTCCTTTCGAAATTAGTTTGTGAAACTTCACTTATGCACGTCTTCAGAACTTATGTGCATCTTGGCGTTTTCATCAAGGGTTTTTATGCGACATTCCAAAATGGAGATAAATATAGGTGCATAGAAATGTTGCTAGTGAGTGTATGGACTCATATTTCATATACAAGTATTCGAAATGGCCCCCTATACCCTTATGTCTTTTTGAAGAATGTTGGAAAAAAGCAGCCAGGAAGCAGGAAATTAATGGTTGTTTTTTTCTAGAATCTTTTAGTATATATATCTTTGTGTTTAACAGAAGAAAGAAACAGATTTTAGACAAATGACCATAGGTGATGACAGAATTATAATTTTTGGCCAAGTATTATTATTATTATTTTTTTGGGCCTAGGTTTATTTAGTCATAACAATCCTCATTGTTTTGTTAAACTCTGCTTATTTTCTGAAACTATACTAATTTGAAATAAAACCATAGTCAAAGTGAGAAGGCACAGAGCTCATGGTTTCTGCTTTGTCTTTGCTGCCCTCTGCTGGCGTCTCTCTTTAATCAATGTTTGGAGATCATAGTTATCTTAAAATATATTTCGTCCAGCAAACTGACCTGCAACATATAATAAACTGTTGTCAAAAGATTTGACTTTGATTTAGATTTTTTTATGCAAAATTTGTCAAAAAATAAATTAGTGGGTGTTTTATGTTCTTTTACATTTGCAAAATGACAGAAACAAAACTTTAGCAAATTAATTAATTATTGCAGTACAATTATTGCTTTTTAAATGATAAAATTACTATTTTACAAAGATTGCGTTGACTACATTGTCTTTACAGTTGGATTTTAAAGACTTTTAAAGTAATTGTGTAAATACTGCTACAAAAAAAAAGCTATTGAAGTAAAAACTAACAAAGGCAAAGTTTTCCTTTTGCATTAAATTTATTCTTCACCCACAAATATTGATTTTGTCATTTAATCATTTCACAGACAGAAAGTTCCTTTTTTCTGTTGAATGGTTAAAATCATTTGATGAATTGGAAATCAGCAGCCAATGACTCCCATTGTATTTTCTTTTCCTAGTAAGGATAAATTAAAGTTTTAAACCACTTGAGGGTGAATAAATAAAAAAAAATAGAGGTGAACTAAGAGTGGCAGTGCATTCCACCCAGAAGGGCACATGATTATGCCCTAAACCAGGGATCACCAAACTTGTTCCTGGAGTTCCAATGTCCTGCAGATTTTAGCTCCAACCCTAATCAAATACAGCTGAACAAGCTAATCAAGGTCTTGTTAGGTATACTTGAAACACCCTGGCAGGTGTGTTGAGGCAAGTTGGAGCTAAACCCTGCAGGGCACCAGACCTCCAGGAACAAGATTGGTGACCCTGCCCTAAACCAGGGGATCTTAAAATTTTCAGCCCGCGACCCCCAAAATTACAATGCCAGTGACTCATGACCCCCAATATCTTCTGAGGTGGTTATAAATATATAAACCTTACACACCGGCGCACATATACCAATACGCCCAAGTCTATTCATCATTTAATTTTGAAGAATGCCACTCGGAGACCATCCTTCGTGTTCAGTTGTGGCCTGTATTTTTGTTTAATGTACATGAGAGCCATAAAGATGTCAAAGTTTAACCTGGTGCCTTAAAATCAATCTGCTGTGTCTTTAATATTACATAATCACCCCAGGGGTCGCAAAAAATGGAAAAGCTGATGGCTTTTTATTTGCATGTTGTTTTTTAAATGTAACTACTATTTTTTGTATACTATTTTTTTTTCCTTTTGTAGGTTATTGATAAAATATGGCAATTCTAATAGCTTAATAAAATGCATTTTATTTTTGGAAATCCCCAAGCGACCCCCCTTCATTGTCTCATGACCTCCACTTTGAGAATCACTGCCCTAAACCATAGGTCTCAAACTAATTCCTAGAGGGCCGCAGCTCTGCAATTTTGCTTCAACCCTAATCAAATACAGCTGATCCAACTAATCAAGGTGTTTAAGACTACTAGACATGACTAGATTAGCTGTATTCGACTAGGGTTGGAGCAAAACTGTGCAGAGGTACGGCCCTCCAGGAATTGAGTTTAAGACTTATGCCCTAAATCTTTTACTCCTAATCCCTTTTAAAGGTTTACACTCTGGAGCAGGGGTGCTCAACCCTGTTCCTAGAGATCTACCTTCCTACAGAGTTCAGCTCCTACCATGATCAAACACATCTAAGCCAATTAATAAGGACCTTAACAGTACTTGATAATTACAGGCAGGTGTGTTTGTTATGTGTTGCAACTGAAATCATGCAGAGAGGTAGATATCCAGGAACAGGGTTGAGCACCCCTCTGTAGTAAAGGGATTAGGGCATAGAAATTACCCCTCCTGAATTTAACACCAAACAACTTGCCTGCGCAAAGGATCATGGGTACCTGAAGTATCCTTCATTTCTGGTAAACCCTTTCTAAGTGGTCAGCTTTGAGCACTTTAGTTTGGAATAGAGCCGGACAATATGAAATAAATCTCATATCACGATATAGTTCCATTCCAGGAAATTCAACCAATAAGTGAAGTTTCATAAACTAATTTCGAGAGGAGCACGTGATATGATTGTGCACCGCTGGCCACTCATCCGTAATCAGTAATAATCCAATCAGAATGATCCTAGCTTAGTATAAGCTTAGTATAAATGTATATGTATAAATGTATAAATAGTATAAATGGATCACTTTCTCCCCATTGCATCTTCATTTTGGAAGAATCCCCCCTTCCACCCCATCTCCTCCTTTTTCTCCCCTTCTAAAGGGGGAGCGATCGAGACCTACCTGATCTCGGTTCTCCTGATATGCTTCTACACCGGGCGGGAGCCCTGGGCTCAAATATCTCCGAGCTCAGGGTTCTCTCCCGTGACAGCATGCCAAAACTGCTATAAGTGCCAAGCATATCCAAGTGGGAACTCTTGAAATAGTTTATACTGTAGTGTTGTCATGATACTGCAATTTCTAACATCAATACGATATACCTTGAAAATATTGATATTCAATACCATTTATGATACTGTGAGGAAAAACCCTCAAATAACTTTCTCATGATGCTGTTATTCATGCTCCTGTCTGCATCTCCATAACTCTGTGTAATATTGCACTCATATTAATTATGAAAAAGTATAACCATAAACAATGTATCTTGTGACACCACAAATAAGCAAATATGAAACAATGGGCTATACTTTGACAATCCAGGTGCAAAGTCTAAAGCAGAGGGCGCAAAGCATTAAGGGCGTGTCAGAATCCACTTTTGTTATTTTAAGGACAAAAAAATCCACTTTGCACCGTGGCGCATGGTCTAAAAGGCTTGAGCTTACTCTCTTAATTATTTATAGGTGTGTTTTAAGAAGAAACCAATCAAAGTCTTATCTCCCTTTCCCTTTAAGAGAAAGTTGCATCGCGCCATGGCGCATTTGCTATTTACATGGCGGACTTTGTAAGTGGAAAAACCGAGCTTTCTTTACTAGCGAGAAAACAGTTACTCAGAGCATCTGCAGCGCGAGAAAGAGCCTCCTCATTCTTTACTTTCACTTTCATAGATAAGGAAACGTGTTTTGCGCACAGACATCCATTAGCCCATACATAATTAATTTTGTTTAGGCGCAAAGATTTGTTTCAAAACCATTTCTAAATTCAGGTCTAATTTCCAGCAAACGAATAAATGAACAATAATAATGAAGTGTGGTCAAACAACTGAGTTATATCCAAATACACATGCTGTGCCCCATATGTCTAAAACCTGACAGGTGGACAAATCTAAGCTTGTTTTCAATAAAACAAATATAAAAATGCATATAATAAATAATACTACAACTAATAATAACATTATACAAAAGCAAGTTGTCATTAATGAACTGAAAAAGCCCCCCGAGATGAAGAAGGCATGAAGGAAGTGGTTTTTATATTTATGTAGAGATTATTAATTTTGTAATGTTTTATTACTTTAATTTTTTTTTTTCATTTGTAAGATATTTGTGTATTGCTGTACATCCTGCGTGTTTTAAGAAATGTTTAAGCGGGGTGTACGACTAGTTCCTTAAAATAGCAATGTGCCAGCAATGCACCTTGAAGCCTGGTTTATACTTCTGCGTCAAGTGACCGGCGTAACCAACGACGCATGCAACGTGCGTAGCTGTGCATTCATACTTCTGCGCGCTGTCTCTGCTGGTCTGCATTAACACTTCCGAAACGCTAGTTGGCAGTGAGGTGTTAATGTTCTCTGTGTCGAGTTGATGTTTTGTTTTTTCTGAACGCTTCCTGAATGTACAAGTGGTTTAAACTAGCTTATTTTGAGGCAGGAACCGGCGGACGTGCAACAACTTTAACTATAAGGTAAACACAAAACAAAACTTTCCATCCGGAGCTCCTTCACAGGACTCCACACTTGTCAACAATCGCTCCATTGGGCTCGCGCCACTCACGTGGCTCTCGGTCCCACCCAGACTCGTCAGCGCAACCAAGCCGACCAATCACAGAGCTTGCGCTTCGCGTCGTTGCGAAATGTTCTTACATTTTTTAAGAGGTGCACTTCGCCGACGGCCACGGCGTAGGGCTATGCGTCAATGCGTAGCATACGCGTGCGCTTGACGCAGAAGTATAAATCAGCCGTAACACCTCCTTTTTTAGACCAGAACGCCTAATGGTGCACATATGAGCGCAAATGCATTTGCTTTTTTATTTTAGCGTGGTGCAAAACGTCAAACTGAATCTTGCAAACTAGCACACAACAATTGCGTTGCGCCTTGCACCGCCTTGAGCCGGGATTATGATTGGACCCAATAGACTTTTTGGCACTCCAAAAATGACTTTTGCTGCTTGTTCAAACTACTTATTTAAAGTGAGGTAGGGATAACTTAATTGTTTATGTTCAATCCACTTTAAATGGTAAACATGATCAAGTTTACTTAACCGATTTGTGAAGGGACACTATGTTGGAACTGTCTGAAACCCAGCACTTTTTTGCTTGGCCTTATTTTGAAACGGCGCCTCTGTATGATGGCTGTGATTGTATTTTCACTCCAAAGTGCCCTTGAGAGGGCGATATGTCCTGTTTGGAAAGCTCCATGGGTCTGTGGTTTTCTTCACTGCTTCCCTCTGCTGGCTACTCTTTCTCAGTCAGATGTTTGCCTGGCTCATATTACCATGGGGAGCAGGAGCGATGCATCCAGTGCCCACCGGGAACCTTCCAGGAGCGGGAAGGTCAGCTTGCCTGCGATCTGTGTCCTGGAGGAGACCGGCATGGCCCACAAGGAGCCCGCAACATCACGTCATGTGCAGGTAATACGCATGTCCTTCTCCAGGGTTTATATAAAAACAGCATTTAAGAACAAAAGCATATATGTTTAATGGGGGAAATTAGTATTAAACATGTCATCCTTTTTCTCCGAAAACATATTTCTAATGGTGCTGTTGACTTGAAATTTCCCCCTGGTGTTGGTAACAAGCAAAGAAATCCATATATGCCCAGAAAACAAGTCTATTTAGTTTACAATTGAAGTTATGAGTAATAAAATGAAATGACCGAGGGAAAAGCATTGTAATAAAGGCAGTGAAAGCCCAGGCAGCAGCTGAAATCTTTCAGTAGTACTTCAGCAACCCTCTGCCCTTCCTCAGTGTAAATGAATATTAGCTCCTTCAGTCCAACATCTACATTAGCATGGTAATGAAGATGAAACCACAGTGGGCATTTTAGCAAGACAATTACTCAAAACACTGCCAGTGAGACTCTCAGATGCTTTCAGAGAAAGAAAATCAAGCTGTGGAATGGCCCAGCCCATCACCTGACTTCAACCCGATAGATCAGATTTGATAGACAAGACGCACACAACCATCAAGATTTTTAAACTCTGTTAAAGTGAAATACTCTAAACATTTGTTTTACAGTTTTCATTTGTATTGGTGATTTTGGTAAAGGATATGAAGCTAAGGGTGATTTCGGACTGTTCACAGGTCAGTGTCCACCAGGGCATTTCTCCAGCGACGGGTTCAAGCCCTGTCAGCCGTGTCCATTGGGAAAATACCAGCCAGATCCAGGACGGACCCTCTGTTTCTCCTGTGGAGGTGGACTCAGTACTAAAAGAGAGGGCGCCAGTTCATTCAATGACTGCGAGGTCAAAGGTCAGGCTTTTTGCCTTTCGGTGCACATTTACAAGCAAAAAATGACCATAAATAGGCAAAAAAAAAAAAAAATTCTGTATATCAGATGTAAAATGTATAATTAATACAAAATAATAAATGAAAATAATCATATAATGTATTCAGATTAATTACATTATTATTATTTATAAGTTTTTATTTGGCAGCTAGCTGAAGTATTTCAGTTTTATTTTATTTAGTGTTTGCTGTTTATGTTGGGGTAGTATTATATTTCAAATAGCTAAACTAATTTATGGTTGTAGATTTAGTTAACTGTCATAACTTAACATAAGATTATGGGCTCTATATTGACGATCCATGCGCAAAGTGCAAAGCGCAGGGTGCCAACGCATTCAGGGCATGTCAGAATCCACTTTTGCTAATTTAAAGAGCCCATATTATACATGAAATAGGGTCATATCTTGGTTGTAAGGGTCTCCAACAACAGTCTAATATGCATGCAAGGTCAAAAAACACTTTCATGGTCTTATAATCTGCATTTATTTTTACCTAATTATCCCAGCGACTCCTGTATGAATCGTCCAGTGATTCATTTGTTCCCAAACCCCTCCTTAGCGCGAAGCTAATCTGCGCTGATTGGACCGATGACAGTCTGTCGCGATTGGTCGACTGCCTTCAGTCAGAGAGTGAAATGGCCAATAGCTAATCAGCAATTTAAAAAGTAATCACAGTTCATACACGCTAGATAGTGTAGGCGTGGATTTTAGCTGCCACACACACACAAACACCTCCGGACGAGAACGCTCCCGCTTCCGCCCGCACCCGCCAGGTTTTAGCCTTAGAACCCGCCCCGTATTCTGCCCGCCGCACCCGATCCCGCTAAAGAGCGGGGGAGAACAAAACCAAAAATCTGTATAAACACACACACAGCACCAAGCATAAAGCTCTCGCTTGCTCGCTCGCTCTCTCTCTCTCTCTCTCTCTCTCTCTCTCATACGCGCGCGTGCGCACTAACACACAAGCACCAAGCAGACACATCTTTCTCTTTCTCAGGCAGCCCGCTCCCGTCCCAAATCAAACCCGTTACCGACCGCTCCGGCGATTTATTCAGAAATTTATTCCCGCGCCGCAGAAATCTGGCGCGGGGACAGCCGCGGGTATGCACACCTCTAACGTTACCACGGAGCTCCATAAACAAAGCAGCACGCGTCGCGTTTTTAACGTGACTTTGCACGCGATAAGAGAATATAGCCAGTTAACCTGATACAGTACACGCGGTTACAAGTAACAAATCACAACTAAATACATTTGCAAGCTAGAGTCAACGAGGCAACAACTTTAACCGCACGTACTTACACTTGAGAAATGGAAGAAACCCATCCTGATGTCCATCAGTAAGTTACTGATCCTTCCTTTAACAAACGCAGATGAAGTATTCTTTGTAGCATGTAGCTTCCAGAAGTTTCCAGTAGTTTCCAACTGCTTGGCTATAATGCTGAGGTTTCATCTTTGGGTAGAGACTCAATATATCCATCTGCAATGTGACTTCAATCGACCGGCATGTTTGTGTGCGTGTGTTTGTGGGTGTGTGTGTGTGTGTGTCTGGGTTACTGCGTCAGAGGGCGGGGCCTCAGGTTTGAAATCTCCCGGGTTTGCGCGTGCACGTGAAAAACTTTGTTTCGTTCGTACGTCATGGCGAAACACCTAATGAGTCGGTATCAAGGCGACTCGTTTGAAGCACTATGAATCGACTCTTTTATAGATGAATCAACAGTTTTAAACACTGTATTCTTACAGATTTAAGCCTTAGCTGGATACTTCACTTCACTTAGAGCTGTGTTACACACTACATGGAGGGGAATTTTCAAAAACCCATAATATGGGCTCTTTAAGGACGGAAAAATCCGCTAAAAGGGTTGAGATTATTCTCTTAATGAGTTATAGGTGTGTTTTGAGAATAAACCAATCAGAGTCTCATCTCCCTTTCCCTTTAAGAGCCGGCTGCGTCGCGCCATAAGCGCATTCGCTATTTACATGACTGACTTTGTTTGATTTAGTTTGTTAAGCACAGAGATTTGTTTCAAAACTATTTCTAAATTCAGTTCTAATTTCCAGCAAACGAATAAATGAACAATAATAATGAAGTGTGGTCAAAAAACTGAGTTATATCCAAACACACATGCTGTGCCCCATATGTCTAAAACCTGACAGGTGGACAAATCTAGGCTTGTTTTCAATAAAACAAATATAAATATGGATATAATAAATAATACTGCTAATAATGTTAACATTATACAAAAGCAAATTGCCAGGAATAAACTGAAAAAGCCCCCCGAGATGATGAAGACAGTGGTTTTTTAATTTATGTAGGCTAGAAAATAATATGTTTTGTAATATTTTAATCCTTTATATTTATATCCTATATATATTCTTGTTATATCCTATATATATATCCTTAATATCCAATTCTTTTTCATATGTAAAGATATTTGCGTATTGCTCTACATCTTGTGTGTATTAAGCAGTGTGTAAGCGAGGCGCACAACTAACGCACTCTGCGTTAGACAATAGACCGGCTTTGTTCTGGTCTATTGAAAAATCTATTATAGATTCTCAAAATAGCAACGCGCCAGCAGTGCGCCTTAGAACGCCTTCCTTTTTAGACCAGAACGCCTATGGGCGCACATATGAGCGCAAATGCATTTGCTATTCAAACAGCGTGGTGCAAAACGTCAAAACGACTCTTGCACCCAGCTAAAACTAGCAAACAACAATTGCATCGTGCCTTGCCCCACATTGCGCCAGGTTTATGATAGGGCCCTATGTGTTGGTGTTAGGTAAGAGACATAATTTTGTTTTTGTGTTACATTAAAAAAAAAAAATTGACCTACAAAGCCATTTAAATATCCTTATAAATATATGTTCTATATTATATTTAGTAATATATTTAAATGTATTTTAATTTGGTGAATTTTATTTTAAATAACTAGTCGTGTGATTTCTGATTTTGTTAACTATGATAACTTTACATAAAGTAAACTGTCTGTTTAGCATGTTTATGTATATATTTTAAAAGAAATATTTTTGTTTTACGTTTATCAGGCATAAAATGTAGGCATTATGACTCCCAAAACCATTTAAAATATGTAATAGTGTTTTCCTCAAATGTACTACACCGTAAAACCGAAAAAGTTAATGTAGCTTAAACCATTTGAGGAAACCGATAGCAACAAACCATTTAAGCTCAAAACAAATCCTAATGAGTACTGTGAACTTAATCCATTTGAGTAAACAAAGCAATTTGACCACGGTAAAACCAAATAAATGAAGAGAACTCTTAAACCCAATAAGTTAAGTCATCTCAAATGGTTTGTGGCAATCGGTTTCCTCAAACGGTTAAAAACCTAATCTCTACAAGTACTGTGAACTTACTCCGTTTAAGTTGAAGTAATGAGGTATTTCATGAACTCATTACCTTCAACACTCAGTTCAAAACTCTTTTCAAATGACTACAATTAACTAAATTTTGAGTTAACTACACTCGTTTCATTTGATAAAGTTTTACAGTGTAATATTTTATTTAGAACTATTTAGCTTTTTTGTTTAGTTTTTTATTTTATTTTAAATGGTTAATGTGTTTTATGGATTTAAATTTAGTTAGTTAATGATAACTTTACACATTAATTTTGTGCATCTTTTCATGTACATTTTAAGATAAAAATAGTTTAAATATAAAATAAACATCGGAATGCTTCACGCACAAAACCATTTAAAAATACATAAAACATTATTCTCAGTTGTATTTTCATTGCTCTATATAGCAAATGTACCAATTAAGCATTTAATTAGCTAAAACTAGACTACTGTCTATGTGTGTGTGTGTGTGTGTGTATAGTGTTGTGTTCTCCAGGTCATTATTATAACACATCAGTTCATCGGTGTATCCGCTGTCCTCATGGAACCTACCAGGCTGAATTCAGACAGAACTACTGCATCTCCTGTCCTGGAAACACCACCACAGACTTTGACGGAGCCATCAGTGTGTCTCAGTGCAAGAGTGAGTCCCTTCATCTAGTTCTCTAACACTCTGGAAAACTAGAAATCAAAACCAGAACAACAAATAGCTTTCTCAAGGGTAGTCTGTTTAGCAATAGCTTTTGAAGGACAAACATCTGTTTGGGCTCCCTAACTTAACAAAAAGAAGGTCATGTTAAATTAGGAAGGACTATCACTGTTAAATGCATTGGCCCCAATCCTCCCCATCATCTTCTTTGATGGGATGGCGGGCAAAATCAAAGGTTACCACGGGCTAACTTTGACCAGAGGGCTCTAGTTTGGGCATCTCTGTGCTAGAGGCTCAAATAGATGAGGTGAATGTCTATTTCAGATGTTGGTTTTCTTTCTACTAATTTGAAACATTCTAAAAATCCAAACGGCCCTAATTCACAAAAATGAGCTGCTCAAAAACAAGTGTTTTGCCTTTAGTGTCTGGCCTTCTTATGAATGAAATGTTTTCCATGTCCTGAAATATTCTTACTAAACGTTTGACTGTTATTGTGTCTTGTTTGTTGGGTTTGTGTGTTCAGATCGCGAATGCGGGGGTGAAATCGGCGAGTTCATTGGATACATCGAGTCACCCAACTATCCCGGAAACTACCCAGCCAATGTGGAGTGTGTGTGGACCATCAACCCTCCACACAAACGCAAGATTCTGATTGTGGTTCCTGAGATCTTCCTCCCGTCTGAGGATGAGTGTGGAGATGTGCTGGTCATGAGGAAGAACTGTACGTCTTTCTGTTTTTCCACAGTTTAGCATTATCGACCTCCACTTTTACCATTTTACCATTATAAACAGTCCTCACTTACTTTGGAAGCAGTGTTGATATTTTTAAGTCTATTCTTTTTGTATAAATAGAAATTAGTAAAATAGTAAAAAGTTTACATGAATTTACTCTCGGATCTTTTAAGATATACAGTTGAAGTCAAAATTATTCGCTCTTCTGTGAGTTTTTTTTTTTTTTTTCTTTTTCGAATATATTTCCCAAATAATGTTTGACAGAGCAAGGACATTTTCACAGTATTTTCTATAATATTTTTTCTTCTAAAGAAAGTCTAATGCTGCGTTCACACCAGACGCGGAACGCGCATCAAGCACCAGTGATTTACATGTTAAGTCAATGCAAACGCGCAAATGGCGCAGCGCGAACAATGCGAATTGCGCGAATGGCATGGTGCGAATGTCGCGATACATGCGAAGGGCGCGACGCGAATTGAGCGTTTGATGCACTTAACGCGCGTTTCGCACGAATCGCATTCGAAAATCTGAACTTTAGCGGACATTCTCGCCGTGTTAACCAATCAGGAGCTTGCTCTTGTGGGGGCGCGATTGTGACATATCGCCTGTTGTCGGTGTTCCAGGGGAAAAGTTCATCAGTTCATCAAACTGGGCTTGGCTCAGTCAGAAGCACCGCTGAAAGCCTCCGTCATCCAGGTTCAGTTTCTGGAGGAGTTTATGAGCTCACAGAGCGGGATGCACCTCTAAAGGAAACTAGTGGACTCAGACACGACCCTAAACGTATCGACGCTGTTTTTCAGTCTTCATAAAGCACATAAACACTGTTATTTTCTTCATATAATAACAAGCTATAAGCTAGAGTCACCGGGCAGACAGAAGCCCTGCCCGTCACGTGAATCCGCATCTGTTCTGAAGTGAATTTGACACGCGAATGAAGCGGATTTGACGCGCGAATGAAGCGAGTAAACTCAAATGTTCACACGGCTATTTACGCGCAAATATCGCAATTTATCTGCGCGTTCTGTGTCTGGTTTGAACACAGCATTATTGGTTTAATTTCGTCTAGAATAAAATCAGTTTTAAATTTTTTAAAACCATTTTAGGGTCAATATTTTTAACCTCCTTAAGCTTTTTTTTATTGTCTACAGAACACAACATCATTATACAATGACTTGCCTAATTACCCTAACCTGCCTAATTAACCTAATTAAGCCTTTAAATGTCACTTTAACTGAATACTAGTATCCTGAAAAATATTTCTAGTAAAATCTTATTTATTGTCATCATGACAAAGATAAAAGAAATCAGTGATTAGAAATGAGTGATAGAAACTATTATGTTTAGAAATGTGTTGAAAAAATCTGCTCTCGGTTAAGTGAAGTTTATATATAAACTAATTTTAAGAAGATCATGTGCTTATGATTGTTCACGGCTAGTCCCTCATTAGCTACGCTTATTCACCAATCAGATGATTCCTAACTCACTATAAATAAACAGAGTTTCTTATCTCAGTATCTTCATCTTGAAGAATGACCCCCACCCACACCTACTCCCCCTCATGCGGGCCAGTGATTTTCACTGTTGCCTCACAGCAAGAATGCATCTGGTTAAAGTCTTTACTAAACCAGTTTACATTTCCATGCGCGGCGTTTGCTCTTTTTCACTAGCCACTAGCCAGAAATAAGACGGGGGAGTTCTCGAGATCTACCTGAGCTCAAACTCCCCTCTCGCCCTGCTAACAAGAGGGAGCCCAGGGCTCGAGGATCTTATAAGCTCAGGGCTCTCTCCCGGGACAGCATGGCAAACAAGCTTTATAATTAATCATCAGCTAAGTGTGAACTCTTGAAACATAAATTGGGGAAAAATATAGGGGGGCTAATAATAAAAAGATAGGTGTAAATAAATGTTAAAGATTATTTGCTGAAATCATGTCCTTGTTTATAAAATCGGAGTCAACTTTTAAGAGTTAAAACAAACAACGCAAAACAAAATTAACACCCATGACTCTTGATGATACGTTAAGGACAATCCAGGGCTCAACATTAAGGAATGCCCGATGGCCCGGGGCCAGCCTGTAAGATGCTCGGGACAGTAGACAGGATCGTTACTTGCCCGATCGGGCCACTGATGCCCTGTCACTAAAGTTTAACTTGCCTGTGACTATTTGTCAATCGCGTGCAAATACAGTCAGAATCGAGAAACTGTGTTTTTAAGACTTCAATTGCTACTTTCTCAGTACCTCTTATCTGATTGGATGTTGAGCACAATATTTTTTTCCATAACAACCAGTTCAGCGAAGAGACAGCAACATGGTGGCAACATCAAGAGATGATGGTAAAAGAAAACATTTGTTTCTATAGTCTTGCAAACATTTACATCTCGACTAAAAAAAATAAGAGATGTTTTGTACAGTTTGACGTCAGTTTGGCAGGTCAGTCATCTTTTGTTTTGCAATAAAATACTTGCACATTTTGCTACTTTTGTTTGCAAAACATTTTTAATTTTGCTCATTATACATGCATTTACATTTTTTTAAATATATAAAATCTATATTTACAAACATTGACACTTTTTTTATTTGTGGCTAAGAAATAGCTAGTATTTTTATTTATTTATTTATTTATTTTTTGGGTGGGGCCAGTGAAAATATTGGCAGGGCAAGTAAAAATCTGATCAGGCCTGTTAAAAAAAAATCCTTAGCACTGAACCCTGCAATCACATGTTGTAAAAATGCTCATGAATGTTTTGTTGTAATGCTGTTTAATTTTATAAGACCTCAGTGTATCATTAGATGTCAAAAAATATTACAATTTTATTTAGCCTTTATGTATGTTTTGACTATCAAAGTGCCTGTTTAATTGTACATATTTTGAAAGCACATGGACTGGGAGACTTTATCAATTGCACTTATTTAATTTACCCAATTTGAGGCTTGGTATTACGAATTAATTACTATTATTTTTGGCATGGAATTAAACTTTTAAACACAATTCATAAATTGAGCAGAGATAAAGGGCTCTTTTAAGGGCAACGTATTTAGAGCTGCGATCTAGCATGATCTTGCATGTAGGACCTTATTAGTAAGAAATATTAAGTATCAGATGTCTGCTGTCTTTGTTAGTGGTGTGGTTTCTTTAGCTTCGGTTTTGCTGTTTCTCTACTCAGGGTCTGCAACCTCTATTACCACCTATGAGACGTGTCAGACATACGAGAGACCGATTGCATTTACAGCCCGATCGAGGCGCCTCTGGATCAACTTCAAATCCAATGATGTGAACAGCGCTCGTGGTTTCCAGATTCCATACGTCACTTATGATGGTGCGTCACGAGATCAGTCTTTACATGTGATCCTTGCTATTATTAGTGTTCGCTGTCTCTTAGATGCATATGTTTTGTCCTCTTTAGAAGACTATGAGCAGCTGGTTGAAGATATCGTAAGAGACGGACGGCTTTATGCCTCTGAAAACCATCAAGAAATACTCAAGGTCAGTGAAGACAAAACTCACTTTCTCACTTAAATATTTTTAAAATTTTAGTTATATATTACACTCACCGGCCACTTATTAGGTATACCTTACTAGTACCAGGTTGGACCCCCTTTTGCATTTAGAACTGCCTTAATCCTTTGTGGCATAGATTCAACAAGGTACTGTAAATATTCCTCAGAGATTTTGGTCCATATTGATATGATGGCATCACGCAGTTGCTGCAGATTTGTCGGCTGCTCATCCATGATGTGAATCTCCCGTTCCACCACAACTCAAAGGTGCTCTATTGGATTGAGATCTGGTGACTGTGGAGGCCAATTGATTACAGTAAGCTCATTGTAATGTTCAAGAAACCAGTCTGAGATGATTTACGCTTTATGACATGGTGCGTTATCCTCCGGAAGTAGCCATCGGATGATGTGTACACAGTGGTCATAAAGAAATGGACATGGTCAGCAACAATACTCAGGTTGGCTGTGGCGTTGATTTGATGCCCAATTGGTACTAATGAGCACAAAGCGTGCCAAGAAAATATCCCCCACAATATTACACCACCACCACCAGCCTGAACCATTGATACAAGGCAGGATGGATCCATTCTTTAATGTTGTTGACGCCAAATTCTGAACTGACCATCGGAATGTTGCAACAGAAATCAAGACTCATCAGACCAGGCAACGTTTTTCCAATCTTCTATTGTCCAATTTTGGTGAGCTTGTGTATATTGTAGCCTCAGTTTCCTGTTCTTAGCTGACAGAAGTGGCACCCAGTGTGGTCTTCTGCTGCTGTAGCCCATCTGCCTCAAAGTTGGACATGTTGTATGTTCAGAGATGCTCTTCTGCAGACCTTGGTTGTAACGAGTGCTTATTTGAGTCACTGTTGCCTTTTTATCAGCTGGAACCAGTCTGGCCATTCTTCTCTGACCTCTGGAAATAACAAGGCATGTGCGCCCACAGAACTGTCGCTCACTGGATATTTTCTCTTTTTCAGACCATTTTCTGTAAACTCCATAGATGGTTGTGCGTGAAAATCCTAGTAGATCAGCAGTTTCTGAAATACTCAGACCAGCCCGTCTGGCACCAACAACCATGCCACGTTCAAAGTCACTTAAATCACCTTTCTTCCCCATTTTGATGCTCGGTTTGAACTGCAGCAGATCGTCTTGACCGTGTCTACATGCCTAAATGCATTGAGTTTCTGCCATATGATCGGCTGATTAGAAATTTGTGTTAACAAGCAGTTGTACCTAATAAAGTGGCCGGTGAGTGTAATTATGTATATGCTAAAGACAAGCACCTTTTTATCAGCAGTTCACAAGAAGGCGCAAAAAAAAAAAAAACTGCATTTCATTTTACTACATTTTATATCAAAAAGCACTTAATCTGTGCACTTGGTATATTTCTAGGGTTTATCATATTATTTTTAGTCCTGCTTATTTTATTTCTTTAAAGTTGTTGTGTATATATAATTGCATATATAAAATGGCATTTTAGTCATAAATACTAGCAAGGCTTGGCAATTTTTTTGCTTACCAGTTATTGCAGTTTTTCAAAGTTGCTGGCCATTTATCATTTTGACTGCTCAGTTTAATTGTTGTGAAATTGCACTTTAAATGATTAAAGTTGACTATTGCATGCAATTATTTACATTTATATATTCAAATTAGAGCTTAAATTTGTGGATTTTTATCTTAAATGTGACTGATCTAATAGTCTTTGTTGATTTTTGGCCTCATGTACAGTGAAGCACTGCAAAGTTTGGAATAATTAAGAATTTTTTCAATGTTTAAACTAAATATTTTACTGCTCGTTTACTGCACAAAATATTTTACTACCCAAGTATGGATTTATATCATATAAAACAGTGTTTCTCAACCACATTCCTGGAGGAACACCAGCTCTGCACATTGTCCATGTCTCCTTAACCAAACACACCTGATTCAGATCATCAGCTGAAAAACCTGGGTGTGTTAAAGGAGACATCCAAAACATGCAGTGTTGGTGGCCCTCCAGGAACGTGGTTGAGAAACACTGATTTAAAATATGTTAAACAATAATATTGTGATATAATATTACAGTTTAAAATAACTGTTTTCTTTGTCAATGAGTTTGTAATTAATTTCTGAGAGACAAAGCTGAATTTTCAGCATCATTACTCCAGTCTTCAGTGACACATGGTCTTTCAGAAATCATTAAAATTAAGATTTTATTAATGGTTTCATTTCATTATTATAGGTAATTAAGAAGGGTTTATTACTGATTAACAATGTGCTGACAATGATTTTTTTTTTGTTTAATAAACTGATGCCCTCGGTTTATTTGATTATAAATTGAAATGGATCCACCATTTATTCAAAACCGAAACATTTGGTAATTATACTTATGATTTGCTGAAATAAAAATAAAAAATGTTATAGTCAGAGGTCCAGCTCTCTTCTGGCCAATAAAATAATGCATTTAATTATGTTTTGTGGCTTTATAGCAGAAATTTTAGGGCCCTATAAATTGTCAGTCACATTACAATATGGTTTATTTAGTTAATGCATAGTCAGAATTATTAGTCCCCCTTTGATTTTGTTTAAAATATTTCCCAAATGATGTTTAACAGAGCAAGGAAATTTTCACAGTATGCCTGATAATATTTTTTCTTCTGAAGAAAGTCTTATTTATTTCATTTCGGCTAGAATTTTTAATATCGGATAGAGTTTTTAATTTTTTAAATGCCATTTTAAGGTCAATATTATTAGCCATATAGCTTAAATTTTTTTCGATAGTCTACAGAACAAACCATCATTATACAATATCTTGCCTAATTACTCAAACCTGCCTAGTTAACCTAATTAACCTAGTTAAGTCTTTAAATGTCACTTTAAGCTGTATAGAAGTGTCTTGTAAAATATCTAGTCAAATATTATTTACTGTCATCATGGCAAAGATAAAATAAATCAGTTATTAGAGATGAGTTATTAAAACTATAATGTTTAGAAATGTGTTGAAAAAATATTCTCTCCGTTAAACAGAAATTGGGGGGGGGGAATAAACTAATAATTAAGGTGGGCTAATAATTCTGACTTCAACTGTAATTATAAACAATCGTTTTACAGCATTTATTAATCATAGTTCAACATTTACTGCATTAAATGTATTAACATCCAAATTCATGCTTGAAAACATGAACAAATACTGTAATAAATGTATTCTTCATTGTTTGTTAATGTTAGTAAATCTATTAGCTAACATTGACTAATTCAACCTCATTGTAAAGTGTTACCAAATTGTCATAATATTTATTCATAGAAAGACTTATTCTGATCCCAATTATTCCAAACGTTAAATCTTTGGTGCTTTTAACCTAAAACATTTTTTTTTCTCTGTCCTTGTTTCTCATCAGGATAAAAAACTGATTAAAACACTGTTCGACGTTCTGGCTCACCCTCACAATTACTACAAGTACTCGACTCGAGACTCCACGGAGATGCTCCCGCGCTCCTTCATTCGCCTCATCCACAGCAAAGTCTCGGCCTTCCTACGTCCGTACAATTAATCCAAAAAGACCACCATCCACCTCCACACAGGCCTCGAGTCAATGGGATCCACACACACAAACACACACATTTTCAACACCACACACACTATGCAGAGTTCAGATGCTTCACCATGCCGTTTCCTTTCTTTTTTCTTGTCAGTCATCTCTGAAAGGGAGAAAAGCTTCAGTGTAGTTTGTATGTAGCGCAGTCGTATCGAGCCAATGAACATGTTTCTTTTTCTCCTCGTGTTCGGTGTTGTTTCGATGTTTTTGTTCGCTCGTACGGACGTTTGCACGATCAGTCCCGCCGTTATGAGCGACGTGCGCGTTTAAACGCACACATAAAGAGTGTGTTGTACAGACAAAAGGAAGCCGTAGCATGTCAAAGACGAGAAAAAAAAACCCCAACTGGAGCTAGCTGTGATCGTGCTTCAAGAGTAGACTTCCTTTTTATTTCCCAGCTCTCGTAAACGCTAGTTCTCAAAAAATAAATGTACAATCTTTTGTATATCTGTACTTTTAGTGTGCTTTTGGTGAGATCTAATTCATATCACGACGTTAAAGCATTATATTTGAGCTCCTAGAGCGTCCATGTAATCTCTAAAGGTCATGCTGTTAAAACAGTAATGTTCAGATTGTATTATTGTCAAATGCATATTCGTCTATTTCCTAATATTCAAGTTTTAATTTAACGAGGCTTAGAAGACGTGCGTTATATTGCAAAAGCTCGGATGGTGAAAAAGGTTGGAAGCCAGTGGATTGTTTAATTTTTTTTGTGCGGGACATGCAATTGCTGCTTCTTCAGAAAAAAAAAAATATTTTAAGCCTTCGGTTTTACCTAATGCAGTTCACAAAATGTCCTGAGGAGAAGAGCAGTCGAGGGTCCGGACTCTTGGAAGTGAGGTTTTCGTAATGCAGTGTTTCTCAACCACGTTCCAGGAGGAGTCCCAGCTCTGCATTTTCCATGTCTCCTTACCCGAACGCACCTGATTCAGATCATCAGCTCATTAGCAGAAATTGAAAGAATATTGAAAGACCTGTGATGGGTGTGACAGACAAAGAAGACATCCTAGACATGTAGTGTTGGTTGTCCTTCAGGAACGTGGTTGAGAGAGACAGTCATAATGCATGCATGAATCACTGATAAACGTAAACCGCAGCTTGCGTTGGATGTTAAGTTTTTTAAAAAACAGCAGCATTACACACTTCAGTCGCATGTAAAGGTGAAACTGCAGTGTTTTGAGGTTGTTTTTGCACATTGAGACCCAAAGAGAAGCATCAGTGTTCGGGTTACAGGGGTCGCGTTTCACCGAAACTTGCCATATGCGCCAGTGGACGTCGACATTTATGAGTGTTTCCTGTATTGATTATGAACCCGTTAGTATTGCTCATGAATGTGTTTATAGGTAGAGCCCTTCACATAAAGTGACTCTGAGAAAAGAACGAAACTTTGAGAAGGTCAAACCATACCCAGTTTTTTGCGAAATGGAAAAGGACTGGTTAGAATGGTAGTTTACTGTTGTCTTTTTTGTTTTGTATATTGTAAATATGAAATAAACAGACTGATTTGAGTCTGAGAGATAAGTCCAAACACAAGTTGTTCTCCCGAGCTTGTATTTAGAAACTTCCCATTGTACGATCTGCACTTCTGAACAAAGGAGGGTTTGCTGGACTTTGAGCATCAAGGATGGAAATGCTATTGCTAGCATATGATCACACTGTATATAGAAGTGCATTCTTGTGTTACCCACTTTGGTTAGCTTTATATGTTTGCTCTAAACAATGAAGCTAACTTTGTGTCAACTTTAAAGAGAGTTCTCGCGAAAGTGAAAATGTGCTGTTAATTTACTCTCCCTCACCCCATCCAGTATGTAGAAAACTTTTTAAGCAGAACGTGAAAAATTTGTAGATAAAACTTTTTTGTTTTTTGGCGATTCACAAAAATATACATGTAGCAGAGACCAGCTAGCAAAGTGCTATGCAGGTAAGCATCACTCCTCTGACCTTAACAGGTGCTCTAGCAACAGACACTAGAGGCTATGATCTTTAGCCTCCCTTTTAGAGCAACCAACTCCCTTGCAAAGAATCGCTGGTTTGATCCCAGTTCAGAACAGGTTGGGTGCAGTAGGACCGGTGGGTTACATGTGGGGGCTCGTCCGGGAGGGAAGTGAGTTCTAGGGATATGAGTGTAATGAAGGCTAGCTAGTGAAGTGCTATGCAGGTAAAGTTCAAGTTCATTTATTTAAAGAGCATGTTTAAAAGCAATCACAAGACTGACCAAGACAAGGTAAAAATAAAAAGACAGAATATAAAACATAGAAATAATGCAAGAGAAACGTCTGTAAAAATGTCAAATGTAGCAGTGGTAAGGACTATTAAAATAATCTTAAAAAGCCAAGCTAAAAAGGTACGTTTTAAGTGATTTAAAAATAGATAATGATGGAGCCATTCTAATCTCAAGTGGCAAGGTGTTTCACAACAGAGAAAGCTCTGTCCCCTCCCCATTTCAGCCTGGACTGAGAAACTGAAAGAAGATTCTGATCACTTGACCTAAACCTCACTCCGCTGACCTCAATAGGTGCTATAGCAACAGACGCTAGAGGCCATGAGCTTTAGCCTCCTTGATAGAGCAACCGACTCCCATGCAAAGAATCACTGGTTCGATCCCAGTTCAGAACAGGTTGGGTGCAGTAGGACCGGTGGGTTACATGTGGGGGCTCGTCCGGGAGGGGAGTGAGTTCTAGGGATATGAGTGTAATGGAGGCTAGCTAGTGAAGTGCTATGCAGGTAAAGTTCAAGTTCATTTATTTAAAGAGCACGTTTAAAAGAAGTCACAAGACTGACCAAAGTGCTGTACATAAGACAAGGTAAAAATTAAAAGACAGAACATAAAACATAGAAATAATGCAAGAGAAACGTCTGTAAAAATGCCAAATGTAGCTGTAGAAAGGACTATTAAAATAATCTTAAAAAGTCAAGCTAAAAAGGTACGTTTTAAGTGATTTAAAAATAGATAATGATGGAGCCATTCTAATCTCAAGTGGCAAGGTGTTTCACAACAGAGAAAGCTCTGTCCCCTCCCCATTTCAGCCTGGACTGAGAAACTGAAAGAAGATTCTGATCACTTGACCTAAACCTCACTCCGCTGACCTCAATAGGTGCTATAGCAACAGACGCTAGAGGCCATGAGCTTTAGCCTCCTTGATAGAGCAACCGACTCCCATGCAAAGAATCACTGGTTCGATCCCAGTTCAGAACAGGTTGGGTGCAGTAGGACCGGTGGGTTACATGTGGGGGCTCGTCCGGGAGGGGAGTGAGTTCTAGGGATATGAGTGTAATGGAGGCTAGCTAGTGAAGTGCTATGCAGGTAAAGTTCAAGTTCATTTATTTAAAGAGCACGTTTAAAAGAAGTCACAAGACTGACCAAAGTGCTGTACATAAGACAAGGTAAAAATTAAAAGACAGAACATAAAACATAGAAATAATGCAAGAGAAACGTCTGTAAAAATGCCAAATGTAGCTGTAGAAAGGACTATTAAAATAATCTTAAAAAGTCAAGCTAAAAAGGTATGTTTGAAGTGATTTAAAAATAGATAATGATGGAGCCATTCTAATCTCAAGTGGCAAGGTGTTTCACAACAGAGAAAGCTCTGTCCCCTCTACATTCCAGCCTGGACTGAGGAACTGAAAGAAGATTCTGATCACTTGACCTAAACCTCACTCCGCTGACCTCAATAGGTGCTATAGCAACAGACGCTAGAGGCCATGAGCTTTAGCCTCCTTGATAGAGCAACCGACTCCCATGCAAAGAATCACTGGTTCGATCCCAGTTCAGAACAGGTTGGGTGCAGTAGGACCGGTGGGTTACATGTGGGGGCTCGCTTGACCTAAACCTCACTCCGCTGACCTCAATAGGTGCTATAGCAACAGACACTAGAGGCCATGAGCAACCGACTCCCATGTAAAGAATTGCTGGTTCGATCCCAGCTCAGACCAGCTTGGGTGCCGTAGGACCGGTGGGTTACATGTGGCGGCTCGTTCGGGATAGGAGTAAGGTTTAGGGGGTTGAGTGTAACGGAGGCCAGCCAGCAAAGTGCTATGCAGGTAAACATCCCTCCTCTGACCTCAATACGTGCTCTAGGGACATAAACTAGAGGCCATGGTCTTTAGCCTCCTTGTTGGAGCAACCCACTCGTATGCAAAAAATCACTGGTTCGATCACCAGCTCAGACTGGGTTGGGTGAAGTCGGACCAGTGGGGTTACATGTGGGGGCTCGCCCGGGATGGCAGTGCGATTTAGAGAGGTGAATGTAACAGAGGCTAGGTAGCGAAGTGCTATGCAGGTAACTTCCCTCTTCTGACCTCAATAGGTGCTCTAGTGACATTCGCTAGAGGCCATGGTCTTTAGCCTCATTGTTAGAGCAACCTACTCCCATGCAAAGAATTGCCGGTTTGATCCGAGCTCAGACCGTTTTGGGTGCAGTAGGGACCGGTGGGTTACGTACAGGTCAATTCCAAGATTTTGAGAGGATTGTTTTGCTTGTAAATTTTATAGGCAGTAAGGCTTTGTCCACATGTACATGGGTATTTTTATAAAGTTTTCTCTGTCTTAGTTTTTAACATAAATCTCCCCCACATGAAATGCGAAAGCGCCCTGTAATGCATGTTAGGGGCAAGTCGAACCAACAGGTGGCGATAAAAATCAAAGATAGAAGTTGGAAAGATCAGAAAACCCAACTTGTCAAACTGGAGTAGTAAAAAGTAAAACCAACATTAGAAAGAATCAGGAAAAGAATTGTAAATCAGTTTTGGAAAAAACCTTGATATTTATTTTTCAATATCGTTATCAATATATTGGTCTGTTGTGGTGTAGAAGAAGGTGTATTCATCAAGTCATATTTTATAAATCACCAAGGCAGACCAAGAACCACAGTTTCAGCTTAAATCGGTTTTTAATAGTCAGCGTAAGGAAACCTTTGCTGGCCAGAATGTGTTTAGTTTAACAGCACATTTTCATTTTGGGTGATATCCTTTTATCTCAGCACTGCGAACAAAACTTGCCATCATGTCTTTGTCTTGTTTTTTAGTAAATATATTTAAACTCAAGATGCAATCAGCACTGTCATGAATGATTATCACAATAGTGGCTTATCACACAATATTTTAACAAGGCCTCAATAGTTTAAACTACATTTGATTTTTGAACTTACATAAGAAGCATTAAAAAGTGTCTTCTACCGTATGAATATGGGCAGTGTGAATGAACTTCAGACATTCGCCTTGTTGTCCTAATTACTACTTAATTTACTTCTGGTGATAAATCTTTTGCTGTGACCTCAGAATTCAGCATCTTTCCACAAGTTTTTTTCTTAAAGAATTTTTAGACATTATAAAATCCGTATTAGAGTTGTGTTGAAAGCATCACCTGTTTTTAAAGCTGGCCTAGAGTGTTAAAAACTAAGCTCAAAATCAATTGAAGAGAATAGCAAAGTATTTTGGAAATTTCTAAACCGATGCAGAGTCATTATCTGAGGCTATTATTCACCACAGCTTTAATCAGTTTAAAACTCACGGTCAAGTTTTAGTTCGATTTTGCAATTCGGATTGTATTTGTATGATTTTCGTCAATGTCAGTATTACTTGAGTCATGCTAACTCTTTTCCTGGAAGCATTTTTTTACTCAAAGTTGCAAGACGCTATCAGCATTTTTGATCATTTTCTCCTAAATTTGAAGGTTCTCTGAATATTTTGTGTGCTCGTGATGGAGAAAGCCAAAGTATACCGGTATAACTTCATTTTCACACACGATCTAACTT